CATTCAAATACCATTCGCATCTTTCCAAAAATTCATATAAAAAAAAAAAAGTAAAAATACGGAAATAAATTTTAAAAAATTCTACTTGAATATTTTATTTTTCTGTTTTCTTTCTTGCAAAACAATTCCTGATAATATCAATATTATTATTCACGAAGCGAAGGAACAGATAAAGAAAATGCACGTTCTTCTTCCCTTTTCTTCTTTCGATCAGATAAATCATTCAGCTCGTATCTACTTTTAAAAACATAATTTTGAAATTTGTATTTATTTCCTAACAATGATTACATTTTTATCATTTATAACACACAGATTTTCTTTATTTTTTATTGAAAAAATGTAGATTTTTAAGATTAAAAATAATGATTTATTTCCTATATTCTCTCTTCCCCCCTCTCTCTCTATATATCTCTATAGAGACAGGGGAAGAAAGAAACTAATTATTGTATCAAAATTTGACAAATAATATCTCGAATTTAGTAAGTATTGTGACAGTTTTTCAGGAAGAATCCAAGAGAAATTGAATATTTATATAAGACGAATCATTTGCATATTTACAGTTTCATTAGAAGTGAATTTTTTTTATTTTCTATTTTTTTTATATTTCTTTAAAAACAATTTATTTCTTTTTGTGAAGATTGCTGATAGGTTGCGAATAGTGAATTAATTAATTATTTAAAATAAATGAAGTGTGTGCATCTTTGTAACGAGTTCTTTCTTCCCTTTTTGAAAAAAAAAACTAACATGGGCGATCTCTCTCCAAACGACTGGTGTTCCTGTCGTGTTCATTCCATTATTACACCACCACCTAGTGTTTAGTTAGGAGGCGGCTCATCAACAACAACGATATAATAGAATACAGAGAGAGAAAATTGGTTCTTTGTATGCTGACAAAATGTACCTCCATTGTACTATGGTTTCGATTTGCACCTGTTTCCATCTTCCTCTTCTTTTCTTAATTCCTAATCTTAAAATCTTCGTCTTACTTTTGTAAAATGCATAATTTATGCGGAACGTTACAAAATTCTTCTTTATATTTTTATGTTTTATCGTAATTTGTTATTGTAATTTGTTAACAGATGGCGCCATTTTGTTATTAGTCAATAATTTATATTTAAATTATCTAATGTATCGATGCGCGTGCTGACTCGTAAATAATTATAATTTTTCATATATTTTTTTTAGTGTTATTTGCCAAATTTTCGAGTCTAAAATCGTCGCTTAATGACGGCAAACAAATTCGAATATCTTTAAAATTATGTTTAATTAAATTATATGTTCTTTGTGAATTACAAACCCAATAATTCGTGGTAATTAATGTACTGTACCGATGGACGATATCCATTAATATTAGAAAGAAATGAGATTTGATTTTTTTATTTCACAAAAACTGGAATTATTATTATTGCTAGTTTGTAAAAAAGTTGTTAGTCACAGAGAGGATTCCCACTGGGTGTCAAGACAAGCAGCTGGAGGAGGAGTGCACAATGGCCAATGATGCCATCCACGCGACTCTGTGAGCCAGTCCTGGATGGAAAGTAGACGAATGAAAAGGTCCAATGGTCCACTCGAAACCACTCGACGACAACTAGGAACGGGAGTTATACTTGCGTGAGTCAGTTATCCTATGAAGATATACGTCACCAGCAATATATCATCCGCTGTGGCAACGGTATTTATTAAATTTGGTAATTACTGTGCATGAGTGGGAAGAATGAATTTTTTTATGCGGTTTCCATTCAGATTAAAACGCCGTTTCACCCGAAGAATTGCCGTGTGAATGGTTCCCACCGCTCCACGTCAACGGTCGTTTTCTGACGAAATTTGCCATATAATAAAAATAAATAAATAAATAAATACCAGAACAATTCTGATATACCGAAAAATAATATTTGAAATTATTAAAGATATTCACGAAACTGATAAAAAATTTATAATCGTAAAGGTACAATTAAGAGATTTAAAACAAAAGTTGTTTGCAACACATAATGACGCGTATGGGCACGAAGAATGCAATAATCGACTAGCCCGGTATCTTTTATGGCAGTACAGGAAATTCAACGTGCTCATTGTCATGGGAGTAACCCATCGATGCTTTCCATTCCTGTCATACTCAGAAGCTGCACAAGTTGACCACACGTGACTTTTTCTCACACCAAATCGGGCCATTTCGTTGTATTATTGACCAGACACACTCCAAAACAGCTTTATTACTGCACCCCACGCATATACACTGACCGGAGAGGGAGAAATCACTCAGACTGTGCACTAACGCCTGCGCAGCCGTGACTGAGTTGTCCACTGGGGTGCAATAAACTCCGCACAGCAGATGTCGTACTAAGACACCGTCTTCGTCATACTTCAGCCTTCGAGTTGATGACGAATTCAGTTTCTCCTCCACTTATGCAATAATAATAAAGATCATCCCTACATTATTCAAAAATATCCATTCTATTCACTCTTCAATAATCAAACCGTACCAAAGCGAATAACGAAACTCTGCATGCTCCCGTCAAGCAGAAATATTAAAGTAGTTCTGTAGAATGGGACTCCCTCTGTAATAGTTGCATTATTACCTGGAAAAAATATAAAAAAATTGAGAGAATGAGGTCGTCTCTTGTTCAATGAGTAACGCCCATTTCTCTTATTGATTATAGGGAGTTTAATATTTGACATTTAAATAGCCGGTATTTGTTTTTAACATAAAATAACTTCCATACGTATATTATTATTCATAAAGAATTCTCTTTAAATATTGATCACGGTATTAGCGCTATTCGTGATATCAATACTAAAAATTATCGATTTATCTTCATTCATATGTATGCTTTACGCAAAATATGCGTGTTTGTTATCCTGTTGTCCTGTTATTATAGGCCATATACGATTACTTCCAAACCACTTTTTTAATTATAATTAATTAATAAATGTTTTACTCTAATGTACGGTTAAACGAGAGCGAAATATATATATGCATATTTATATAGAAAAAATAAGCACGTAATATTGAATTATAGCGATAGATGGCGCTGATCTACTTTAGTATTTTCAAGTACAGTGTCAAAGTACAATAGTAAATCGTTTAAAATCGATAGAGAATTTTGAAATATTTGGTTTTTTCTTGGCTTAGTGAGCATGCCAGAGCGTTAAATAAAGTCGCAAACGAAAAATAAAAAAATAGGAATTAATTTTTGTAACCGAGAATGCCTCATATACCAGGAGAATAAAATCCGTGAAAAATTTCTGCTTTGCTAATTGCATTGTTATCGTCTTTGTTCTCTCTCATTACTGCGAGTAAAAGAAGAAGCTATCATGCAATGCTAATGATATACCACCAACATTAAAGCAAATTGTCTTTATTCTTTCCACGTTGTCATTATTTGAGATTTTCATTGTCTTCGCTTACTCAATATGCTTCAAGTTATTCAAATTATACAAGAAAATACTTTCGAATATTTTTTCTTTCACTTCTTTTTCTTTCCTCATCTTCCTCTTTCTCCTTTCACGAGATAAGCAAGTTTTTGGTTTAAGTTATTTTGTGAAAATTTCTTTGCTTAGATAAATTGAAAGTAACTATGGCCCGTGAGTGCTGGTTGAAGGAGTTCGGGCAATTGTAGATAATAAGGTAACAAGAGGTCCAGTCGACTCTTCAAATGGTTCAATTGGTGACAAAATATCTTACGAAGAACTACGTAAGAAGTGTACAAAGCAGTTTGATGAAGAGAACCAATATTTGCTCAGAGGTGCTCCTGCTGGCAAATATTCTGCTGTCTCAGAACTGGATCGTTGCCTGATCAAACACATTCCCTCCCATAAAAGATGAAAGTAAAGGATTTGTGACGCCCATTTACTTGATAGGAAGGTGAAGTTCTACAAGTGGCTTATGCAAGTTCAATTGGTTATTTATTACCCCTTTTACAAATTTCCTGAACAGTTAATTTTTTTTTCTCTCTCTTTCTAAGCACGGTTTGTCTAATCAATACATACAGTAAACCTTCGATTTAACGGACTAATTGTGAAAAAAAGGGATGTCCGCTTTGCCGAGAGTACGTTAAATCGGGTGTACATTAAAAACGTATATTAATAACGAACTTAAAATATTAATATAAAATAAATCCACCCATTTATCTTGTAATAATTATAAACATTTTTAATAACACGTTTTAAGTTGAGAATTTGCAGACTTTGACTTTTAATATCTTTGCTTCTGTTTGATTAGATAAGATTCGTGTATAAATTTATATAAGAATTCTATTGTTAAATATTAAAAAATTCTACAATATATCGTAATTATTCTAATTATAATTTATATTGTTTTAATCATAATAAAGTAATTAATTTAAAAAAATATACAATTAAAATGTCATGTATGAACTGTTCTTGTGTTTAAAACATTTAAAAGATATTGAATTAGCGATAAAGTAATTATGGGTTTTATAAATAAATTCCTAAATTTAGTTAATTAAAATTGGTACAAAATGTAAGAAAACTTCAGTTTATATACAAACAAAATAAGATTTGTTTCCTCTTTCTTTTCTTTCTTTACTTTTTTTTTTTAATTTTAAATTTTAAAAGAATTTCTTGTATCGGGAGGAGAAGACACAAACAAAAGAAAAAGGATATCATTGAGTGTTTAAAATACGACTAGGGAAAGAAAAGACACCGGGACCGTTTCCATGACAACTCTTACCTGGTGGAGCTCCATCCGGAGTTTCTCTTAACAAAATCACCGTTGTCGTCTGACGGTTGCCATGGTGACGCATCCGTGGGAAATCTCTCCCGGAATCTATTTTAAAAGGTGACTACGACTATTCTTAGGAAATTGTTGAACGAATAATGAAGCTAAACAATGACAAGTATCAGTTTGAAACCTACACGATTTTAGATTTTTAACGAAACTAATTTAAAATAGGTTATGCAAAAATTGTTATTTAAAAAAAAAAATAAACAAAAAATGCAAGTTTTGTAATAAAACTATTGTTTTATTACTAGATAGCAAATTTGCTATTTAAAATAGGCCTGTCGGCTATTATTATTGTTGTTTTTTTCTTAACATTTAAGACAGGAATGACAACGAAGCAGAAATATCCTGCTTGTTAACGTATTTACACATTTCAAGGCTTATGTACAGTACAAATCTATATCACAGGAATGACTTCTGTATTTTCACTTTCTATATTTATCTTTCTGGGTTTGTTTTTAATATTAAAACTGCCGGATAATCGGAATGCCCAGGTTTATAAGTTCCTCGATGGTTTTTCAACTGCATATTTGGGAAGAATCAGTTGACAATTGATTCCATGTGAACACTTTTGGGTAATAATGTACCGAGGATAACCACTAGAGCAATTTTCTTTATGTATAACGGACTAGACGGAAATGTTCATTCTGCTTCATTGGGTCGTATAGGAACGTNAAATATTTAATATAAGGTATGGGATAATTCCCATGAAAAACTGGTGGAACTAAGTTGAAAGTAAAGCTTGGCGAATACATCTAAATAAAGGAAATTTTAAAATTGTGTCATAAGAATATCGAAACCAGATTTCACAGTACGACTCAACGCGTGAATAAAGTACACATTACACAGAGTACAACTACAGGAAGTTTTGGATAAAGCAATATCACCATGATAATAAATTAAGAATACAAACATCGTCACAAAAAAGACTTCGAGCTGTACTTTGTGCCTTAAAGTTGCGCCTACAAATAATTTGGCCGAACATTAGAACACCTTCGAGTAATATTAGTGAAGAAACTTTAAGAGACTAAGTAGCTCGAAGGCTTTTAGTGGCAATGCTTATTTTCCTGATTATCCTTCATTCAAAACTTTTAGTACTTGTAGTCTGTGTAATGTGCACTTTATTTACATGTTTATCTTACTGTCAAATCTGCTTCCAATATTCTTATGCCATAATATTCAAGTTTCCTTTATTTAAATGGGATGAGAGTAATGAGATATTAAACGAAACAGATGCCGAAACACAAACATCCATGGAATTTTTTGCCTTTTTTAATAGTTGTTTTGGATTCAGAAAGTTTCGAAACGTATAAGTTTACAAAAAACTTGGAAGGTTAAGGGTCAAAGTTGGCACTTTAACATTACACGTGTGACCAAGCTTTACTACAGTGTTACCGCGCTGTATGATGATAAAATAATAATAATAAAAAAATAAAGTTTTGTACGAGAGAGTATTAAAAAAGAGATAAAAATTATCGCTTCGAACGATGTTGCAGATTATCCTCTAGAGCCTACAAAATGACGGTATTATTGGATTTCTATGTTTAAAATAGAATCGATATTTTTCGTAATGTTTTCTCTCCCTCTAAGGTTTCGAGTGTAAATTTAAACAAGTGTCCCTTTGTTAACACGATAGCGTTTATTCGCTAGGAAAACAATTTCCAATTAGCCACACATCAAATGGATCTTTTAAAATCAAAACAAAGAGTGATATACAACGATTTCTATTGTGGAGTAGAACAATGTTTGCTTGTTTTGTTACAATGGCCTTGTTGTTGATACAACCGTCTAAACGTGGTGACGTAGCAAAGAAAGAAATGTAAATATTAATTACAATAAATTATCTTAAACAAGAAGAATTTCTTTCCGTTGTTTGTGACGATACAAAGTAATTTATTCCTTACTTTATTATACATTCTCTAACTGATATATGACCGAGATGAGTACGGGCTCGTAAGCGTGCAATGTTATAATTTTAAGATTAAATTTGGTGATGTAATCGTAAATTTTTAAGATTATCGAGGATGATTTTATATAGCTTTATCTGTAAGGTCAATCGCTAAAGATTACAGTTATTAAATACGTATATATAATTTATTTATGTTGATAATGTTACTAAAAGAATCTATTGATAAAAATCGATAAATGAACGATCATTATTGATAAAGATTTTCTCTTATATCCGAATTTGATTTAAGAAAATTGAATTATTTTAAATACATGTAACGTCGGATACCTCAATATTGAGCTGGTAATTACCTGTAGCGCCCCTTTGGACACCTAGGGCGGAAAGGTTCCTCCTGCAGTAGTCATTTCCTGTCACGTGACAGGAAGAAGGAGGCGCTGGAAGCACGGCAGTCGGTAATGAGCATCATCCCCAACGAGGTTCTTTTATTTAGCCGAGGAAATATTGATAAGGAGAAACGTGAAATAGCACATCGCGATAGCTGCGTAGCACATTTAGATAACGCTGCCGCTCTATTGACTGCCGACTTCTGAATCGACTCAGAATCTCCCCCTTTTTTTTCCTTCTTCTTCTTCCTTCTTACATTTCTCGGTTCGTCGTTTCCTCTTCTTACATTTTCCAGTTGTATTCTCCAAGAAAAGTCAGAAAATTTTTGTCCTCCAGAAATTTCTAAGGATGGAGAAAACGAGATACGACAATCTGCGAGAACATTGTCGAAAATCGCAAAGTAAACGTAAGCTTAAATCTTTCGGTAACGATCGATAGTTTAGTTTATAGATAAAAATCCTAAAAAAGACACGCAATAATTTTTTTAATTAAATAAGCGAGTAATTGAAACTTTGCATTTTAATTTCAATGAAAAAAATAAAATAAAATACACACTATCATTATTGAAACGGTTTAATTTCCGAAAAATACATTGCAACTCGATATTGCTTGACTGAGCTTTCTTTATTTCTTATCTTGGAATAATCAAATAAGTCCACTTGTCTTTCGGGGATAACAGTTATCTGACGTGCTCTTCACAAGGATTATAATTTAACTTCTTATCCGAAGGTCATCTCGGAATTTTATTGAAAAGAATTTTTTTTCCTGCTCTCTTTCCTGCCTTAAAATACTAATTAAAAAGGGAATTAAATTTATTCTTAATTCGAAGAACTTTGAAAGATTTTCAAGAAACAAAAATTTCCTATTGTTTTGCCCTCTGTTTAATTATATAATCAGTTGTTAAATTCGGTTATTTTATTTTGTTCGTTTCTTCGATTGTTCTTTCGAAATTTCCAGGTGTCGCTGCATGAGCGCTAGATGTAGCTTGTCACGCTAGAGGACGCTGCACTGTCGGCCGCGCGTGACGCGCCCGCCTTCTAGCGGAGAAATCAGGAAACTGTGACTAATTGCCTACATCATTTTCATTATTTATTTGGTCTTGGTGATTGCGGACTTGAATCTTCAAATATTCATAGTCACTGTTGGTGTGTCCAACAGGAAAGCCCTGCCACCGGATTAATATTCTCTGTCTGCATTTCTATCCGAATGCTATTTGGCTAATAATTCGTTAGAGTGAAGCTTATGTTTGCTATTAAGTAATAAAAGTGGCATCGACCGAAATATGGCGGTTTAAGACGAGCAATAGGACAATAACCTTTCTAACTACGCTTTTCAATCAAAGATGACCACTATGAATAACAAATATTATTTAGATAACCTGTTTGGACGAATCGAAACCATAATTACAACCATAATGCATTATATATGACTTCACAGTTGTAAATTCATTAAATAAATATTTCGTTTCGCCTTCCTGATGAGGATAAGTTTTAATAAAAATTTAATTGTATCGATAACTTGTCTTCGCTTTAAATCAGTGATTCCTAAAGTGGGAGCTGCCGCCTCCTCGAGGGCGATAGAAGACTCAAGGGGGGGCAAATATATGCACTTAAAGGAGTATAGTACTGTTTTAAATCTTAATAACAAATACCTATATTTTTTTTCTAAATTTAAAATATGTTTCGTAATTTTTNTAAATTTTAAAAGAATTTCTTGTATCGGGAGGAGAAGACACAAACAAAAGAAAAAGGATATCATTGAGTGTTTAAAATACGACTAGGGAAAGAAAAGACACCGGGACCGTTTCCATGACAACTCTTACCTGGTGGAGCTCCATCCGGAGTTTCTCTTAACAAAATCACCGTTGTCGTCTGACGGTTGCCATGGTGACGCATCCGTGGGAAATCTCTCCCGGAATCTATTTTAAAAGGTGACTACGACTATTCTTAGGAAATTGTTGAACGAATAATGAAGCTAAACAATGACAAGTATCAGTTTGAAACCTACACGATTTTAGATTTTTAACGAAACTAATTTAAAATAGGTTATGCAAAAATTGTTATTTAAAAAAAAATAAACAAAAAATGCAAGTTTTGTAATAAAACTATTGTTTTATTACTAGATAGCAAATTTGCTATTTAAAATAGGCCTGTCGGCTATTATTATTGTTGTTTTTTTCTTAACATTTAAGACAGGAATGACAACGAAGCAGAAATATCCTGCTTGTTAACGTATTTACACATTTCAAGGCTTATGTACAGTACAAATCTATATCACAGGAATGACTTCTGTATTTTCACTTTCTATATTTATCTTTCTGGGTTTGTTTTTAATATTAAAACTGCCGGATAATCGGAATGCCCAGGTTTATAAGTTCCTCGATGGTTTTTCAACTGCATATTTGGGAAGAATCAGTTGACAATTGATTCCATGTGAACACTTTTGGGTAATAATGTACCGAGGATAACCACTAGAGCAATTTTCTTTATGTATAACGGACTAGACGGAAATGTTCATTCTGCTTCATTGGGTCGTATAGGAACGTTTCCAACATCCCATACCCTCAATTTGTGCGAGGCTAACGACAATTGGCGTATTCCTGCAGATGTCAGACCGTGTCCGTGGCGTAATAACAATATCTCCAATTCAGATAATGGGTTACTTTTGGTTATTTTTGACGCCAGGACATCGTTAAGACCGTAACAACAATAGATTTCTAGGTGATGGAGCTTTAGTGAATGAGTTAATAACAGTTCGCAGGCTTCCGGTGCAACCTTCCTGCTAACACGTGGTCTCAAACGTAGAAACTGAAGCTGGGAGAATGGTTTGTTGCATTTTTTTGGCAATTTGCATCCTAACAGCGTAAACCATTGCACACTTAAACTTTCTAAATTTGGGCAGTGAAAAGCAATTTTGCCTAAGTCCAACACGTCGAATCGACTGAGGCTGAGATCTAAGAGACGAGGTCCGCAAGTAGAAATGATGGGTTGTATATCATCCGGATATGACGCTGATAGATTAGGGCTATTACATAGTTCTAAACTGCGTAGATGAGTTAAATTGCATAACGGTTTCAAATCCATATCCTCTTGTACTTCAATTGACACTGCTTGTAAGTTGGGGCACCACTTAACTAGTCTACTGACTCCGTCGTATCCCATGGGATGTACGACACGCAGTTGTTTTAGACCTTCCATTCGATTCTTCCACCAAAATTTCTCATCGTCGTTCTCTTCTATAATGTCTAGAAGGTCTTCCAAGAATGTACACGATAAGCTGTCCACGTTGGGGAAGGCACGCAATATGGACATCACTCCGCCTGCATTGACTGATGACGGAAGCCAAAATTCTTTCAGATTGTAACGCATGCGTTGAGTGCACGGATCACTAGTGATTAATTTCACCAGGTCATCAAGATCATCATCGTCAGTGGAGGGATGCAAAATTCGCAAACTTTTCAATTTAGGGCAGCAACGGGCAATTATTTCCAGTTCTTTTCCTTCTTTAGTGGTATGTTGTATCCACAGGCGATGAAGATTAGAAACAGATTCCAGAAGATTATGAACTAAATGTTTACTTAATTCCCAATACAGCCATTGTCCCGCTAAAGTCAGATCTCTGAGAGACTTACCGTGAGCGGTGAGCTTACGTACGACTTGAGCAACGTCGGTAAACTTACAATCATTCAGACACATCATGTTGAAATCTTGAATTCCCGAAGTCACCAACAGTTCGGCCGCTTTAAGTAATTCTCTGCTATCTGGCTTCAGGCGTAATAAAGAGTCTAAAAGATCCTGTCTTAAATGTATAGGATAGTCCAAGAAGGGATTATCGTATGCGTTTTCCGGTTTGACGGGTGGACTTCCTCTTTCTCGACTCCAACTCAAAAGACAATCTTTTACCACCACTAAACAAGACTGGCGGAGACTCCATTGAGGGATGATCTTGTCGCTGGCCTTAGCTTGACACCACCTCTCGTTGGTATTCGGAAACACTACACAATCTCTCATCTTGGTCGACAGGATAGAGACGGATACACTGACAACTCGCTTTATTATGCGTTCAATCGCACAGCTGCGCACTGATAAAGCGAGGCCGATCTGCAAACTTTGAACCAATCACGAGGTGGACACGTGAAATCCTGTTTATCACAATATGGTGCACGTGTTCGTCGTCGAGTATTCTCTCGTCCGACGTCACACTCATCTAATAAACCGACTTTTATCAGCTATCCCGATTGACGATGATACACTCTGGCTTACAACTACGCAAAGTTACAAGTTCACGCGTGCTACAGGTGGTTTAGTCTGGTAAAACGAACGAAGTTACGATGAAGGAAGTGACGTCGACGAATCCCGCCCCTGAACACGCGGCCTCTGTGTGTCTGTTCACGTGCTTGGCTAGTGACTGCATGCTACTATCCTAACGAAGACGAAACTGCTGTAATTTTCAATATCGTCGTTCTTTAACCGGACGAATGCACCCTTGAAAGCGAATTAAAAAACCTAACAGGGTGGATACAGAGTAATTCAATGACTGTTTTTCGTGTAAAGGTACACTGTAAATATAATTTAATACCATATTTATTTTTTCGGTATACAATTTTATAGCTTTGTTTTCATGGTTTTATTTTTATTATCTGTTATTAAAACAGGATCAAATGTTTTAAAATTAAAAAGATTATCGCCCTTTCGCGAAGAATTACACAATAAACTATCGACAGTTTTATATAAACGTGTTTTTTTATTATTATAAGAAACAAAAGTTCGGGTGAAAATTCCATAAATTCTTCTTCCTCTTTCGATTAATATTTTGAATTTTATTATCCTTTATATCCTATTCAATATTCATCTTTCTCGAATGAGAACCCGTGTCAATAGAGTCATTCAACAGTTTCCTTCCACGAGGAAATTTAATAAATTTTCTATTAATAAAAACTCATTGTTTCTACGGACAAAGGATGACTTAACCTCATCTGAAACACAAAGGAACTTAGCATTTTTGGTTTCTTTACCTTTTTCTAAGAGAAAATTCTTTATGGATAAGCATCAGTCGAGTGTTTTTAGAAGTGTCGCTTGTTTGAGGTTCTCAGGGACATCCACTTTCACTGGCCACATCATTGTCGACGTGTTTTTAAATCAAGGACGTCTAAGAGACAACTTTTATATTCCCTACACTCTTTTTCTATATTTATTACTTTCATTTTTTTCATTTTTGAAGACGATACGCTAAGGAAAGCAACTCAAATCTCTACTATATCCATATATTACACTATAATACTTTCTCTAATGGAGTGATGAGCCGAAACATTCCTTGTTTAAACCTGGATTGCGGCTTCCCGTCATTGGTTGTTAATACAATTCGTACATGCCAGCTTGTTTATATTGATTAATATCATTTTTAGCCCCAGCAACAATACGTTTACACATCGGTTTTACCTATGCGTGCGTTTTTATAAACATTTTTTATTTATCTATTTATTTACGTTTTCTGTTATCTGGGTTAATCAAATTCAGCGACATTAAAAGGGAGGAATTATAAAATTAATGGAAGAAAATTCTCGATCTTTATCTGTATGAAAAAAACTGATTATTTCATTACATAAAATTAGATTAACGATCGGTCTTTGTAGTAATTATGACGTAAGGTGTTACTGTACCTGTTGAGAAAGAGCGTATCCACGTGATACACATCGGGTGTTCACGTGGACCGAATTGATACCACGTAAGAATTTATTACTCGTGGTGCATTAATGAACAGGAGGAGCAAAGAAGTGAATTTGTTAAACATGAAAATTCGTCTTCCATAAAGATTACTGGTCATGTTTTACTCGATCATCTGCGTTACGTAACTTAATGCTTGTTTAAACTCCGCGTTATCCCCTAATTTTTTTCTTTCGATTTTGAATATTAATAAGCAATTTAAATATTTTGAAATCTAAGTCAAATATGATATAATTTTTTCTAGAAAGAAACTCGTTTTATATCGCAAAGGGCATCAAAAAGGAATAAAGTATGCAAAAAAAGAAAATTTGCCAGACGAAAAGAAAAAATTGCATTTAATTCTCCATATTTATTACCAAAGGGAATTAAGTCTCCGTAAAAAGAAGAAAGAAAATTTCAATGGGATGCAGTTAAGACATCGTAGCTAATTCCTCATTCAAAATCGAACAATAATAATTGTTAACTTTTATTAAAAGATATATCATCCCCCATCTGCATAGTTTATATTACGGTTGGCCACACAACATCACTTTCCATTAAAATATTCCTATAAAGAATGAAACAGGGATTGTTGAGTCAGAGCAAAAATATTTAATCCACGCATGACCTCCATCTCATCCACTACACGAACAACACGGGTCATTTCCTGTGCGGATTTTTTTTTCCGCTCGTGCTATTCGCTTCATCACGTCACCCTTTGTTGTCCTTGAACGTTAGTAGCGGGCAGATGACTTCCCCTCTACATATCAGTATGTGGAACAGGTGGACCTCTTCGGTCTGCCGTTCGTTCTATAGAAAAAAAAATCACTAGCAAAACTCGCTACACCCTATCGCTGACCTTGGCCTCAAATTTATTGCATCTCGAGCTTTTTGATACGTATCCATCTTCCTCTATACAGTTTGTAAAATAAGATTATGGGTTTATGGAGATGATGTTTGTCGCATCGATCAATTATACGTCATCCGTGCCATATGAACAGTTGCAGTCGAACCATTTGACAGAAGTTCCTACCCAGATATGGTTTAATGGCGAAAGGCAGGCGTCCAGTGGCTGAAGTTTGATGATTCAGGTCGCCACGGCGTCGCTGGCCAGATGAAGTTAGACGTGATATATGATGGAGTTTAGACAGTTCACACATCACAAACATTCTACCAGTAATCTATCATAAACAGGCATTGAACTGTTCAACGATTTCGACGTATATTTTCTATTGAACAGTAGTCCGGTGTGTTTTAATTCTCCAATCTCAATAAGCAAACATCTGTTTATGGAAGGAGGAGAAGTTACGCAATGACCTTTTTTAGATAACGCCCTTTCTTAACGATATCACTAAGCGGTCAGTGCAAGGTCAGTTTTCGAAATATTGACGTCACAAAATGTTGATGCAGTAATCTTGTTTGTTTCGTTTAAAATATTGCATTTCTTTTTAACTTAAATTAAAATATAAAAATCAATCAACGTCCGGGGAAGGCACAGGAGACTAATTAAAAGCATCCGAGTTTTTTACGCGTGTAGAAAAAAATATATATATTTTTTAATTTTTGCCGTTTAAATAACGTAGATCTTATCGGTTTAAAATATGAATTCTTGCACGATTTTTTTTGTTATGTTTCGTAATGAAAATATACCTTTTTTTTTCCTCTTATTTTCGAAGCATTTACTTTATTCAAAACATGGCGAATTAATTTCCTTTCGTATCTGTTTTTCGTTACATTTTTTAATATAAAAAATGATTTAAAAAATATTGGAATGACGAAATTTGGTGGGAGATTAAGAAGGGATCGAGGTCTGCTCCGCACCGAATTTGTTAAAGGTCTGTTTACTTAGCGATAAAAACGAATTTCGTGTCAGGGTAAACTTTTATCCCTTTAAACACGTAGACTACAAATACGTGTTATTAATCAGAATTAATCGAGTATAAAGGAATTTTAACGAATTAATTTATAAAACGTGTCGTTAATTCCGCCATCCTCGCCACGCTCTGCAAAAATGATTCCAGTAAATCTCTCTAAACAAATGTCTCGAAATCTCGTAAATATCTTAATAATCATATCCTAATTATCTCTTTTTTAATTATTTATTTCGTCTTAATATATATATATTTTATCAAGAGTTATAATTTAAAACTTCCATATAAAGCGTAGTTCGATTGACTTTAAGGATGTAATGACGTCATAATCTGACGTTATAGCCGATATTAAATGGCCTTGGAGTTGTTGACTCGTAGACGAAATTATTATAAATTATCATTCACGGCATTATTTAAACTCGTGTTTAATCATTTAAATAAATAATATATAAAAAAGTTATTTTTTTTTCTTCGACATAGAATTGTAAGCATACGTTTTATGCGGGAAGAGTTGACACTTTTTATTGATGTATCGTCTATACCGAATGACCAAACTATGAAATCGTGTTTTTCTGATGTTACTATAGTAACCATAATAAATATGGCGCCCAGTGGAGGGGCCCGGGGTGAAGCCAAAGAAACAAATGTAGCGTAAAATATATTTCGATGCGATCTCTGTATGACGGACGACTTTCTTTGTTTCGGTTTACGTTTCGTTGAGCAGAAACAAAACTATTATTTTAATTCCTCTTCCAGCCTAATACTAGTCGGGTAATATCTTAATGCGATTTCTGGTGTTAGCGTGCTCCGTATTCGCTAATTAGAATCACGTGACGCTCTTTGGTACCAATTCTAGAAACGGTTTGGGAATGATTGGAAAGAATAATTCATGATTGATATATATTTAAAAAATGGGCATATTTGAAATGAAACTTGTTGAAATATCGGAAGCAGATCCGAGTCAATTGGCTTCGAGTCACGGATCGGATCACGTGTTGTTGCGTGACTTATGCTCTGTCACGTTTCACAGTTCTGACCGGTAGATCGTCACGCCTTTGTTAGTTTAAATAAATTGTAAAGTAAATTTATCTGCATATCTTTTCAAGTAATGAAGCGGTTAATTTATGAACTACAAAAACAAAGTATTTATATTAATTGTTGTAAACTGATAAAATAATAATAATAATAATAATAGATGCTTTAATAAGCAACTGTAGTACCAGACATTACTGACAAAAAGTATTGGCACTGGTTTACTTTGTTACCCATTAGTGATGCAAGTGTCACACAATGTATAGTTAAGTACAGTAATACCTCAACTTACGCGAACCCGGAGTTACGCGATTTTCAAATCTAGCCGATTCGTCTTTTTTCTGAGCATCACGCAACTCTTGATTACTCATGCCCCCACACTATTGTTCAGCTTACATGTTCGGAAATGTCACGCGGAATCGACGCATAGCTACAATTTATTTTGTGTTATTTATTTCTGAGTTTGTTTTATCTAAGGAGACTTGAGAGACTGTACTATGTCATCCAAATGAAGTAGAACTGATTCTTCTGCATCAAACAAGAAAAGAAAAACTTTATCTTTGGAATGTAAAGTT